TTATAGCTAGAACATCCTATGTTCTAAGACCCCTCTCAGTTCTTTTTTTTTTAATTTTTAGGCATTTGGGGTTAAGTGACTTACCCAGGTTTATACAGCTAGTGTCAAATATTTGGTCTGAGACCGCATTTGAACTCAGGTCCTCCTGACTCCAGGGCTGGTGCTCTATCCACTGCACCACATAGCTGCCCCAAAGTTCCTGAATTTTGTGTTTGATATTCTGTGTCCAAAGGGCTGTTCCAGCTGGGACCTGGGTTCTAGGATTTATTCTACCCTCCCACCTAAAGAGTATATCCACAGGTATGCCCATGCTCCCACAATGCAAGAATAGCACTGATCCTGTGATCTGGGATCCCACTGAGGTGGGTGCCTGAGACACAGCTTATAACCCCTCCAATCCCTTCTCTTTTGTCCACGCCCTCCCACAAATTCTCCACAGGGCATCCACCTAGCATGCTGGGGGCCGTCTTTTCAATCTCCTCGCCTTTCAGGGACACCAGTGGAGCGTGCAGGCAATCAGGTATACCTTGCCCCCTGTACTTGAGGAGTCCACCTCCTCTTCCAGTTACTCATTTATCTGATGGCATCCCCTCTGCCATGCCCGTGGGTAGCATGCTGCATCCTACACTTGCTGTCCCTGCTCTCTCCATTGCCCTTCCGGTGACCCACAGTCTTAATTCCATGACTCCCAACCATGCAGCCTCACCAGAAGGATCTTAGCGTTATAGAGATGGGCCTTTGTATAATCTAGGCCCAGAAGTCTGAGATCCATTTGCCAAGGCCATCCTGCTCCTCCATTCTAGTCCCATTGCCTTGGCCATTGGCATTACTCATCCAGGCTACATGTACTGATGGACCATCTGGCTAGGTTACCCATACAACTACACCTGGTAGTCTTGCTAGCACATGTTCTTCATATAATTGGTTTTTATCCTATGGGTAGTTAGACTCAACTCTTTTAAAGTGATTTTAGGTATCCTTTCAGAGGCTGTGCAGAGTTCCAGAGTTTGATGCCATCAGCAAACAGCAGAATCTGGAGGGCCTCCAAATCTATAGGGAACCCTTCTCCAGTATGGACTCTGTGCTGGACATCTTCCATGATGGTAGCTCAACACGTTTGGCAAGCATATGTACTTCTTGTTTTATCCCTTGCTTGATATTAATAATCAGAAGGTCTCTCAGTAAAGCTATCTCTGCTGAGGTGGCTATGTGGTATGGTGGGTGGTCTTGGAGTCAGAAAGACTTGAGTTTAAATCCCACCTTGGACACTTAGGAGCCATTTAACACTGGGCAAGTCACTTAATGTAGCCTCAGTTTACTCATCTGTAAAATTAGAGTAATAATAGCACCTACCTCACAGAGTTCTTGTGAGGATAAACTGAGATAGCATATGTATGGCAGTTTGCATATCTTGAAGCACCACATAAATGCTAGTAACTATTATTGTTACTTTTTTGGAAGGCTATGATTTTTGATAAATGCATGGGAGACACTTTATTGGAGGAGAGTCTCAAAGGCAACATTTTGCTGTATCAAATCAAATGCTGTTTTATAGTCAACAACCAATAAGCACAGTGGGATCTTGTAATTTGTGACACCCTTCAGTCAGATGTGTGACTGTAACGATATGATGTGCTGTATATTATTATTTGCAAAACCTCTCCTGTTCCCTTCTTATACTCAAATCGGAGAGGAATGTCAATATGGATGTAGACTATTCTCATGATTTTATGTATATAGCTAAGTGGCTTATTGGTGTTAGCTATTCATACTTTCTTGGTCATCTTTTGTGGTAACTATCAAATCTGAGACTTTTCCCCTCCAATTCTTCAGTATTATCTCTCCGCTACCTCAGAAGCGGATCCATTGGCACTATGGAAATTGTATCTTCTCCTCTATTAACCTTCTTTGTGTAAGCCAGGTCTTATCCGTCTGTTCTTCCTAGTTTTGTTTTCTTTAGTGCCACTGATGCTTCCTTGTGTGGCATACCAGGGACTAGGAGATTCAAATTCAAATGTGGTCACACCATGGTGAAAAAATGGTGGGAAAAGCTTATTATAAAAATCTGTGCTGATCTCTTTGAATTTCCTCCTCTTTGTTCTCCCTTCAACTTTATCCTTAAATTCCTCAGACATCATTAGTTGAGTCTTTCACTGAGCTTTCTTTCTACTTTTTTCCTCTCCCTTTCCCACTATTTTATGAGATAATGCTGCTCATAATCTCCTAGCATCTTCTTCTCTAAGATCTTACAAATGAGTCTGTACTCCATCAGTGTTATTATTGGCAATGTTGTAGGCCAGCAGGTGGCACTCCTTGCCAAGTGGAGAGAGATGGCAGCCAGAGGGAAGATAATAAGCACATATAGCCCCCATTGCGTGCCAGGCGCTTTCTCATTTGACCTTTGCAACCATCCGAGTTCATAGGTGCCATCATTATCCCCATTTGACAGTTGAGGAAACTGAGGCAACAAGGTTAAGTGACTTGCCCAGGGTCACACAGCTAGTAAGTATCTGAGGCCAGATATGAATTCAGGAAAATGAGCCTTTCAGCCTCCAAGCCCCCGTGCTTTATCCACTGTGCCACCTAGCTGCAATTCTCATGGCAGTTACCAAGTGTTAAAATTCCCAATTTAATTTGGAGGTTCTTATCCAGTTTGTCCTAGGATTTCTGTTGGGTCCATAGGCAGCCATTTTTTCATTCTGGCTACTTTGCAGTTTCTGATCACGAGCACCACCATAAGAGACGACCAAGTGTGCCACTATAGTATGTTTCTTGTTGACTTCATACACATGATCAAACCAACTCTGCCAGTTTTTTATTTGTTTCTCCAAAGAGAACTCATGGGTTCATTCCACCTTTTCCATGTCTTACGGCTTCATTTTTAGTGAGAATGTCAAGACTGATGTGCTAATATGTTCTCCCTTTATGGATCACTGGATGAGGATCTCATATTTAGATGAACATTAGTTATGCTAATGCATATAGATAATTAGCAAGCATTTATTAAGCACTTACACTGTTATAATTGCACTTTGCCAAGTAGTAGGGATACAGAAAAAGGAAGAAACACAAAAAACAGCCCCTGACCTCAAGGAAAATTCATAGAGGAGACAGCATGTCCGTAACTAGGTTTGTATTGTTGAGTCATCTACGCTGTGTCCGATTCTTTGTGACCCCATTTGTTGGTTTGTGCATATAAGATAGATGCAGAGTTTGGGGCAGCTAGGTGGCATAGTGGATAGAGTACTAGACTTGGAAGACTCATCTTCCTGAGTTCAAATCCAACCGCAGACACTTAGTAGCTATGTGATTCTGGACAAGTCACTTAACCCTGTTTGCCTTAGTCTCTTTATCTGTAAAATGAGCTGGAGACTTTGCCAAGAAAACCCCAAATCGTGGCAACACAAAGAATTGGACTCAATTGAAATGACTGAACAAACAACACCACAGTAGAAGATAGAGGACTAGGGATGCAGGGGGAAAGGGGAAAAATAGGAAAGACCTCTTCCATACAGCAGCCTTTGAGCTGAGTCTTGAATGAAGCCAGAGATGTCAAGAGGCAAAGGTGAAGAGCATTCCAGGTATGTGGAACAGCTACTGCAAAAGCATGAAGATAGGAGATGGATTGTTTTGTGTGAGGAACAGCCAGTGGGAAGGTATTGCTGGACCTTAGAATGAATGGAGGATAGTAAAATAAAGAAGACTGGAAGGGTAGGAAGGGACCAGGTTGGGAAGATCTTTGTATGCTGGAGGACTTTGTTAGGTCCTGGAAGTAATGGGGAGGCACTGGAGTTCATTGATCAGGCAAGGTGACATAGTCAAACTGCACTTTAGGAAAAGCACTTTGGCAGTGGGGAGAGACAGGAGGCAGGAAGATCAATTAGAAGGCTGTTGCTATTGCAATAGTCCAAGCAAGAAGTGGTGAAGGTCAGCTGTACGGTGCACTTATGTGAGTGGAGGGAAGGACACAGATGTGAGAGATGTAGTGAAGGTAGAATTAAGACTCTGTTGATGGATCCACTCTCTGGGGTGAGCACACGTGAAAAGTTGAGAATTCTTAGCTTCCTCTTCCACACTCTAACACCCTTGAGACAGGAGAAGTTAGTGGCTATTCAGGACTGAGAACCATTCTGGATTTGTCTTGCTTTTTTGAGTTGCCATAGGCAAAGAATTCTTCATACATTGGCCATGCAAAGCCCTTAGGGGCTTTCCTTACTTGGTGCGGCTGTCCCACAGAAATCAGTCTTACTGAAGTCAGAACTGCATAGCCTCTTATGTATTGAGGTGGGGGACTCTTGGGGTTGAGGCATGGTCCACTACTATCTCTTGTGTGTACTCCAAACTCCAGGCCCAGAAAAACAAAGCAAACCATGCCCTAAACCAGCCTAATTGTTGCGTGGATTGGAGGACCAGGGAAAGGAGCTGGACTGACTTATGGGGGTCTTCCTCAGAGGCAAGGTTGTTAGCCTATTCTTGTAGGGCCCTCCCATTACTTCCCTTCACAGTTGTCCAGCTTTCTTGCCACTCTCCAGTCACCTTACTTCCCGTTGGCTGTCCCTCACCCCCTGCCCCAGCGGACTAGCATCTTGGCAGGTCTTCCACAGAGCCATAGAATGGCCAAGAGAAATGGGCCTTTCAAACATAGAATGTAGAATGTCTTCACTGAAAGTGAATTTAGAAAAACAAATGTTAGAACTGAGAGGAGTCTCAGAAGTCATCTAGTATAACTTCTTATTTTATAGATGGTAAACTTAGACGCAAAAAGAAATGACTTACTCAAGGTCACACATGTGGCAGAATGGGGCTAAAAGTAGAAAGTGAATGGTATGGAATGTGGTATGGAATATCAGAAGACAGGGGAGGGAGATGGCAGGTGAGCACTTTAGGGGAAGAAGAAGGAAAAGATGAAGGTGTGGGTATGAAGGAATATCAGAAGTTACTCTCCAGACAGCCTTACTTCATTCTTTCTCTCTCTCTTGTTTTCTCTCTCTCTCCTCCAGTCCTGGTATCTGGGATAAACAAGGTTCTCCCCACACGTCCCTTCTCCTGTGTCTCGGGGCTATCCCGGGGGGAGAAAGGCAGCCCCCCGGCCCACGTTTTCGGTGGAGAGCTAGTGCGAGTGAGGACGTCCTCCCAGCCACCCCCGCCAACATCCAACCCGACAAAAAAAAACAAACAAACAAAAACACAACAAAAAGAGACAAACAAAAAACAAAGACGAAAACAAGAGGTAAGACAGACAAGTCAGAGACTCTCTCCGAAGAGCGAGTGAGGTTCCGCGCCTGGCAGTCAGGAACATCGTCGCCCCGTCCCCCAGCGACAGACACCCCGGCCGAGGGACAGGCCCCTTGCGTCCAGCGGGCACTGCCCAGACGGAGGGCCCCGGGGGGCAGCCTATGCAATACGGTGTCTTTCTAATTTATTCATCTCCTCTCCACCTGCCACGACTGAAGAAAGGACCGGATGCCCAGCCTGTCCCCCCACCCTGACCCCTGCTCCCATGCCTGCTCCCAGGACAGATGGCTGCTTGCTCCTGTTGGCATTGGGCAGGCTGAGGGCAGTTCCCATTGGCACCAGCGGCCATCCCTCTGCCCAGGGATGAGCAGATTAAACAAACAAACAAAAAACCGTGCTTTGGGTTAGCTCCCAGACCCACTGTCCAGACTCCTTAACCAGAGAGAGGTGAGCACATCCCTAAGGCCCACCACAGAGAGGCATCTTGAGGTAAAGGAACTGTACCAGGTGCATTCTCTTCCTTCCCATCTGCCATGACTGCAGACAAATCAGCTGATATCATCCCTTCCCCTGAACTCCCATTCTGGGGCCGGATTCTGGGGCAGCATTCCAAAGAGGCTGGTGCCTGTGATGCTTGCTATTTGCCAAGGAGGTCAGGCAGCAACCTCCCATCTTCCCCAGCCTCCTGGGGATCAGGGTACCTGTCATAAGTGGCAGACACACCCATGGGGCCTAACGTTCTGTGTGCTGTAGAAGGGATGAGGAGTGGAGATGGGGGCGGTAGGGTCTCTCCTGGTGCTTCCAGATAATATAAGGGTGGCAATGGTGGCAGGGGAGAAGGTGACTCCCCAAGCTGTTTGGGGAATCAAGGTAAGGGTGGAGGCCACTGACGGTGTCATAAGGTTGGTTGGAGTGGCACAGAATGGGCAAGGCTTGGTGGCACAAGGCCCATTGGTGAGAGGATTCAGTACGGTCCAAGCTAAAAAAAAAAAAAAGGAGCCCCAACCAAATTCTTTTGCCCCGAAGGACTCATTGAAAACCCCCCATTTTGTACACCATATATGGAGACATCTAATTTGGCCTCAACTTGGTTCTGGCCCACCCTCCTCACTTCTGTATTTCTATCCGACTGGGACTCGTTCTTTCTTCATGCCTACCCCATTTGGGAGAAAAGGTCTATGCAATCAGTCCCACTCCTCCCATAGCTTGGTGCCCTGGAGCCTGGGATCTGGAAACTGAAGGGACTAAGGAAAGAGGTGGCCGGCCAAAACCCGTGCCCCAAAGCCTAATGCCCTGGGGATGATATTGGATGCGCTGCAAAAGATGCACTTTTGGAGGACAGAAAGGGGAGGAGAAGCCACCATCAGACATACCCCTCACCTGCCCGCTGCTCCCAAGGCTTTAGTCTTACCCTGAAGGAGCTTGACAGGCCTCCCAGAGTGGAGACATTGTGAGGTGGGGATGGGAATAACAGGGCTCCACCCTCTCTGACAAAAACTCTCTCCCAATCTCCGTCCCCACCCCATCTAACTGGGCTGTGGAGTGTGTGCGATTTAAGTGCCTGAATCCTGGATCGCTGCCCTCAGCTACTGCCCTCCCACACCCCCAACTCACAACAGGGCCAAGTGATCATGGATGGCCTAGAGCCAAAACCTGGGCAGCCCTTTGCCCTCCATGCCCACTCAAGGCACCTCCACTTCCCTTCCTGCCAACTCTTCAGAACAACCCCTCTTCCTGGGCCCTGCTGGTTCCCTGTGCGTCATCACTGAGATACCTCACCAAGGGCCACTAGGAGACCAGGGGTCCCTGGTTTTCTCCTGTTGGTATCTGGGCCTCAGGCCTCTGATTTCCAGTGATACCAAGACTCTCTTTAGGGAAGGAGGAAGGGGACACCTCCTTTCCCAATGGCCCTTCCTCCCTATTCAATGAGGTATCTCTTTGGGTCTCAGACACCCTCATCCCATTACCTCCCCCCACAGCCCAAGCCAGAGAGATGGGAGACTGAAAGACAGAGTGGGCATTTGCCCCTGCCAGCCAACCGCCCGTCTGGGACAGTGGAGACTGGGGCCAAAGGGGGTCAGGAAAACTGCCCCCTCTCCCCCAGATCCCTACTGCCCCCTCTGCCAGTGCCTTAAAACCAAGAGTGATGCCCTTCCCATATCCATGTCTCCTCCCCCTCATGCGTATGTCTGCCCTTCTCCCCAGCTCAGCCCAGGCCAGGCCAAGGGATCTGCCCCATTGCACTTTTGTCTTCCCTGTTGGCTCTTGGGAGTACGAGACAGGTGGGGAAGGGAGAGGTCACTTGGTCCAGTCCCCCACTCTGTGACTAATCGCTGCGAGAGATGGGGTGAAGCCCAGTAGGGAAGGGAGGGGGGAATGGAGGGAGGTCCTATAGTCCAGGTCTAGAGTAGATCTGGCAGAGAGGGAGAGACTGCCAAACCACAACTGGCAAGGAAGGCAGTGCCCTGACCCCAACTGGGTTTTCCCTACTGCCCTTGTGCCTGGGCACTCCCCCCGATATGTTGCCCCCTTTAAACACATACACCCCAGCAGAGTGAGGAGTAGCTCAGGCCTGGGGTGGGCAATCTGTTAAGCATTTCCGTTGAGCCGCTCTGATAACACTAAGCTCAGGGAGCCAGCCCTAGGCCTCCCTCCTGCTCTCACCTCTGACCCTACCTCCCCCAGTCATCAGGGGAGGGAGGAGACGCCTGGGACTACAACTTCTGGGGTACCCTTGGGCCCTGTGAGACCCACGTCTATCCTTCCTAGAACTCCTTCCCACTGATCTCGGAGGGGCCCCTTTCCCTCCAGGGGGGGTCTGAGCCATCTATGGGGCACTGAGCCGAAGGGGCTCCTCCCCACCATGGGAATCTTGCTCTTGGCCCTGATCCCACTCTCCTTTCTTTCTTCTCACCCACCCACTGCCACCTCCTCCAGAGACCATACTTTCCTCTCAAACTGGCACAAAGGCATGGCAAACCCAGTTGATGCAAAAGAGAAAAGACCAGAGTTTCCTAAGCTCCCTCCTCAATTCGTCTCCCTACCCTGTGCCATCCTTCTCATCCTCTGGAGCTTCCCTGATGGCAACTTTGTCACCCAGTGGCAGAGGGTGCGATTCTTGTGCACTTAACCCTATTGTCCTCCCCACCCCCAAGAGGTCTCCAAGCCACTGGATGGGGTTGGCCTTTGGGACCTGAAGTGAGCCTCTCTTGGGGGTGGATGGGTGAAGAGTGTGTGTGTGTGTGTGTGTGTGTGTGTGTGTGTGTGTGTGTGTGTGCTCTCTTGTGCACGTGTGTATGTCTGTGTTGGGGGTGGGGTGGGCATTGGAACCTTCGGTACAGGCAACCCTAGCTCCCTAGGGTTTTTGGGATGGGGGTGGGAAAGGACCGCATTCCAGGCGGGACCTTGCGGAACCAAGCTGGGCTAGCAAGTTGGCGGTCAAGGGGAGAACTCAAAGCTAATAAAACTGCATGGTGCTTAACCAGGAACTCGTGTGACCTAGCTCAAGCTGTCAGCTCGGAGCTGATAAATGCATGGCAGACTATAACTGGCTCTACCTTTCCCCCTCTCCACCTTCCCTTGCCCCGTCCTCTTTAAAAAAAAAATTATATAAAAAAGTGAAAAAAAAAATCCATGTTTCCTAATTTGCACGAAATTTTCTATCACATGATGTGCCTTGCCTTCCAAGAATAAGTATTAACTTTCAACGGTATCACCGCACAGAGATAGCTGCATGCTCTGCTCGTGTAGTTAAAATAAAATCAAATAAAAAATAAAAATGGAAAAGGGGGATGTACTTCTATTTGTAAAAAACAAAACAAAACAAAAAAAAATCACCAAACAAAAAACTCAGACCCATCCAGCATCCAGCCCTCCTCAGCTCCTCCTTTGGGCCTCACCTCCGTCCATCTCTGTTCATGTTTCTTAGGCCTAAAGAGGGGTTCCTCATGTAATGGCCACCCCAAAGCCTTTTTAGCTCTTGCCCCTTTCTCAGCTATCTGCCCAAAGCTAAGCTTGAAGGGTCCAGGAGGCCTTTTGTTTTTTATTTCAAAACTTTAGCATCCACGCCCTAAAGGGATTGTCCCTGGAACAGGAGGGCTGTGTTCCTGCCCTCCTGGATGACGACCTTCTAGGGTGTTCCTCTGAGTTGATTGTCTCCTAGGGTTAAGACCCTAAAAGAGACAACTGCCTCCCAGAGCAGCACCTGTCCCCTAGGATGTCACCCTAACAGATAGTCACCTCAAGCAGGGTGGCTATCTCTTAGAGTATCACCCTAACTGAAAATACCTGTCCTCTAAGTGTCACCCTAACAAGGATAACTGCCTTCTAGGGTGGACACCTCACTGAAACATCTGTCCCTTGGCATGTCACCCTAACTGGGTGACTGTCATGTTAGGTGTCACCCTAACTGGGGGGGAACCCCAAAATACTTGTCCCTTAAGGCATTACTCTAACTAAATGACTGCCTCCCCGGGTGTTACCCTGATTGAAACATCTGTCCCCTAGCATGTCACCCTAGCATGAATGACTGCCTCCCAGGGTGACACTCTAGCTGGGACAATTGTCTCCCAGGGTGTCACCCTACCAGAGATGACAGATCCCTTCCAGCTCTAAAATTCTATAGTTCTGACCGTCTCCTAGGCAGGCAGGAGGAAGTGAGTCACCCAGTTAGGGCTCAGGGTTTTACAATTCTCATTTAACACAGGAGAGATGGTCATTCTTGTGTCTCTTCCACCTGACACCTCCCCCCCCATATAAGTTTTGCCAAAGTCCTTCCTTTCCCTCCCCCTCATTCCCCACTTGGTGGGCTATTTGGGGATGGATTTTGCTCCTGTCCTGACAGCTTCTCCCTTGCTCCATGTCTTCCAGTTGTGAATACAAATGCATCTAGTATGGCAAAAGTATATATTTATCTATCTCTCTCTATATATATGCAATACCTGTTTAGTCTCTGCTCCTAGCTGGCTAACCACTCTCAGTGACTTCATGGGGAGAGACAGGAGGAGGGGCTTACAGAAGGTGCTTTGATCTGGGAGTGGGGTGGAATAGAGACCGATGGTCCCATTTCATTTTCCTGGGCAGTTTTGTGTGGTTTTTTTCTCAATGACCAAAGCAAAGCATGTGCTGCGTTTCTCCTCCCTCGATACTTTCCCTTACCCCTCACCCCTGGTTATAGGGGCCCAGGGTTTGGGGTGAAGGGCTGAATTCAGTGACCTAAGCTGTGAAATTAAGGGAAAGAACTTCCAGCCTCTGGTCCTCTCTTCTCTAGGGTCCCTCTTTGGGGGGGGTCCAGCTTCCAACAATCACCTATTTCATCATTGGGTCAGGAACATTCATCATCCCACTTACATAGCCCCATCTTTTATGCTCCTTGGGGAATGAGGTGGTAGCTAAGCCTAGGAATGAGAATGAGGTTTCACCACAGACCTGTAGCTCACCATGCAGGTCTTGAGGAGCCTGGAGAGATCTGAGACTCTGTGTCGATCATGATGGCTCTGTGGTTCCTTCCTCATCACCACCACCATACTGCCCCCCTCCCCGCCCTCCAAGCTATCATCTTCCTAGGCCTTCTTCAATTGATACTGCTTCTGGCTCTTGGGCAAGGCGGAAGACTGGAGCTATTGGCTCCCATTTCTGCCCAATGAGACCCTCAGTTCATCCTGGATCTTAATAATTCTCTTCCTTCCCCATCCCATCATGCCTTCTTTCAAAAGTGCCATGAAAGACCAGAGTAGTAGGGGTGAAGGGTATGACAATTCCATGCTATCTTGTCTCCCAAATCTGAAAGCTGTGGGAGTTTGTGTCTGAGAATCAGGTTGAATGTGACTGATTTAAACAAGAAAGCCCCTTTGTGTAGGCTAAACCAGAGTAAGTGGCCTAGAGGAGAGACCCTAAGGGTCAAGTCAGAAAGGGTCTTCCTGAGGTCATTTTGTCCACCTCCCTACCTCTGTCCTGGCCTGGACCTCACCACCATCACCATTCCCTAACTCAGGAAGGATATGTAGGGTTCCTCCAATCCAGAAGCTTCCAAAGCCAAACACTTGCTTTCCTGTTCATTCATTCCACAGATAGTTCCTGAGAGCCAAGGGCTGTTCAAGACAGATCTGTTATCTTTCCAGTTGTCTTAAACACAGATCAGGACTCCTGCCAGTGAGGCCCCTGGGCAGACAAGACCCCATCCCTTTCTCCTCTCTCCCTTTTTGTCCTAGCCTCTTCTCCTGCTATCTATCTCTAATTGTCTTCTCCTGCTGATATCTAGGAACTTTTGATTAGAATTCTGTGGAAAGGGAAAGAGAGATTGGAAACTTATCATCTGCATGGAAACTCATGCAAAACAATGGCCTTGAGGCATAATGGACATAAAACATAGAGCTATCCAGTGCCTAGAGGATCCAGGCTGGAGTGGCATGGAGGTTGTGGAGAGTGAAGGAAGTGTAGTCCCCTGGTAGGAGCTGCCATGCCCACACTCTCCTCCCTCCCAAAGTGCAAGAGGATGTGCTAAGTCAGCAGCCCTTGGAATAAGTGCTCAGTCAGTACATTTCACTCCTCAAGCTGTGTACATCTTGAGTTGGGAATGAGAAAAAGAGATGCCCTTCCGTTGGCAGATAAGCATCTGAATTTGGAAGGCTGATGGACTCTTCCCAAACAAAGGAGATCCTTCCTAATTTTAGCCTTCTCACCACCTCCTACCATCCAGGTCCTCAGGGAGATCTGGAAGCTTATTCTTAGCACTGGCCATGTCCCCACCTCCAGGCACCCCATGAACAGAGGAATTCAGGCTCCCTTCTAGTGCCCTGGACTTAAGATGTCTCATTGGTCACCAACTATCCATCTGCCTTCAGGGCTGCCTAACAGTTGCTATGCCCTTCCTACACTCACCAAGATGTGGAACTCTGAATGCCCCTCCACCCAAAACCTGGTATGGCTTTGAATGACCAAATGGCTCATCTCTTCCTGGTTTAGAGATCAAGGGCTCTCATTGCATTAACCTATTCACCCCCAGGTAGTTTTTTCATCTGCTTCATTGGCTCCTAGAAGCTTCTCAGACCATTCAGGGCATGACCACGCGCACACACACACACACACACACACACACACACACACACACCCTCAGTGACAATATTTATGAGAGTTTCAAAGGGGACCACATCAGAGACCACCCCAAAGGTCCAATATTGGATAAAATCCAGGACGCTAGGCCCTGAAGAAGTTGGCCCTGCATTAGTTGAAATTCAAGACCCCCTTCTGGATGAGGAAGGTGTAACAACCAAGTCCTCACCTTAACTTCATCTCTTGAGAGACAGCTCACATTACCCCTGTCCCATTATATATATAGTCCATGTCCACTACTGACCTATCTCTAAATCTCTTCCCTTTCCTCATTTTGTGAGTGGGAAGGTGGTTCCTAACCTTGTTTCCTTAGCAGTTTAATCTGCCCCCCCCTTCCTTCTCCCCAACCTCTCCCACCCAGGAAGGAAATAAACTTCCGGGGAAAGATATGGGAAGGGAGACACAAGCTCTATTTGATTAAGTAAGGCCGGGAAAAGGGCAGAGAAATGTTAGGGGGTAGAGGTCAGAGGGTATCTCTGGCTAGCCTCTCCTCTCCCTCAGCCCTAGAGAGTACAGAAAGAAAGGGACATCCTTCCTTCCTCAATATGGTTTTCTTA